CTTAACTTTTCAATTCTATTTATACTATTGATCCTTTCCAATGATAAAAGTTTACGCATGTGGGATGAAATGAGAGCTTGTTTATTGTCATATCTACGTTTAAGAATATCTAATGCAGTTTGATAATTTTCATTTGTCAAGGCAAGTCCAGTTATAGATGCTAGAGCTGGTCCTTGAAGTAAGTTACGTAGGTAGGTCATTTTTTGAATGTTAGATAAATCCTCATTATAGTTAACAGTACAATTAAAATTTTCTATAAATGATACCCAGTTTTCCGGTTTTCCATCAAATGGTTCTAGTTTTAATATGGGAAGCTTGACATTCTTATTTTTAGAATTACTAGATAAACTTGATGAATCTATTTTAGAGTCGTATTTTTGTAAATGCTTGTTGATAATTGAAAGTTCATTTTTACACTTGAGCATAAAGTCTGTGGAAGTATCTGCATCCTGTTGTAGCTCTTCATCATCTTCAATAAGTAAAGAAATTTCTTCGTCTAGTTGATTAACTTTAGTGAATTTTTCATTTATTGTATCAAGAATGTCAATTAAATTTTGATATTGCTCATCAGAGATGAAGTTTCAGACGATTTTTCAAAAAGTTTATATAAAAGTTTAATAGTAACAGTTCTGAGTCTACGTCTGGATTGAAGGTTTGACATTCTGACTAAATTAGCAAACTATAATTTGACAATGACAATAGTCTAGTATCTGAACTAACTAGAGCTTTTTTCAACAATAATAACCACAACCAAATATACTCAAAAATAATGAAATGGCAAATCAAATGACGTCAAAATAATGGGAATGTCTAAATGCTTTTGAGTTGTGTAAATATTATGTAAACAAACACTCTTAAAATGTTTACGTTCGTTAATAAAAATTAAATATGCTTATAGTAATAATTCTTAAAGTATATCAACGTTCACTAATTAACTTAAATCCAAAATTCTTTAACATTAAAAAATAAAGTATAAATAGAATTAACATAACTTATCCTTTTAGTTAACATAACTTATCCTTTTAGCTTTATTTATCTTCTGAAATCCTTTTCATCGACAGTTAGTTCAATTTTAATCGTGGGCTCCATGTTGTATCTGCTTGGATACATTACAATCAGTTTGTATTTTAAAGGAAATCTCGTGTTAAGAAATAATATATTTTAATACATTTACAAGTGACACACGTTTCTCAGACGCGGCTCTTTTCTTTTTACAAACCTCTTCTACTAACTAAGCAAATAGTTAGTGTTTTGATAAGTGATTGTTTAAAATAAAAGTATCACGTGTCGGATTCATTGATCGCATTGATTTTGTGAGCGGCATCATTTAAAAAAATCTGAGTGTTCTTTTATATACAATTTAAAACATAGAATCTAACTGAGCGCTAAAATCATCAATGTCAGCCATTATATCAGCAAGAATATCATCAGTTTCCTCAAACCCACCGTCTCCCTTTTTTTTTAGAGTAGGTGGTTCTTCAATTTCATCGTTAGGTGGAGAGATCAACTTAGGAGGTGGCAATGGTAAATCCAGACAAGGGGCTGGTAATGAAGATTTTTTGCGCCGAAATTATTTTTCTCGGTGGAGGTGGAGGGGTAAAAGATGGCATTTTAGGAGACGTTTCGGAAACTGGTGGTGGAGACACCACTCGCTCTAGAACAGGCTCGAATGGTTGACTAGCTGGTAGTTCATTTGAACTAACAATGCTTGATCTTTTAGGAGGAGCAGGTGGAGGAACCTTTTTAACAGATTGCTTCGGT